TCCATCTCATTGTGGGTCCATCCATCTCACTGTGGGTCCATCCATCTCATTGAGGGTCCATCCATCTCATTGAGGGTCCATCCATCTCATTGAAGGTCTTCCTCTTTTTCACTGACTTTGACCAAGCATGATGTCCTTTTCCAGAAACTGGTCTCTCTTGAGAACATAGCCACCAAAGCAGGTGAGACAAAGTCTCATCATCCTCGAGTCTAAGGAGCATTATAGCTGTACTTCTTCCAAGACAGATTTGTTCCCTCTTGGTTCCTTCAATAATCATCATCAACACCATAATTTAGTGACATCAATTCTTCTTTGGTCTTCCTTATTCATTGTCCCACTTTCAGATGCATATTAGGTCATTGAAAATAATATGGCTTAAGTAAGGTGTACCTTCGTCCTCAAAGTAACATCTCTGCTATTTAACACCTTAATGAAGTCTTTTGCAGCAGTTTGAGGAGCCCTGGTAATACAGTTGGTTAAATATTGAGCTGCTAACCTCAAGGTCAGTGGTTTTAACCCACCAGCAGCTCCTCCGGAGAAACTTGAGGCTGCCTGCTTCCCTGTATAGATTTACGGTCTTAGAAACCCTAAGTAGTTGTTCTACCCTGGCCAATAGATTACTCTGAATTAGAGTTGACTTGACGGCAGTGGGTTTGGGGTTGTAGATTTGCCCAGTGCTATTGCTGTTTGATTTCTTGGCTGCTGCTCCCATGGGCCTTGATTCTGAATCCACGTAAAATAAGATCCTCAATGGCTTCAATCTTTCCTTTCTTTATCATGATGGTGCTTATTGTCCAGTTGTGATCATTTGTGTTTTGAGGTACATTGGGGTGCAATTCATATCAAAGATTGCATGTGCTTTAAGTCCTCTTCACTTTCAGCAAGCAACGTTGTGTCATCTGCATTTGGTCCAGCTTCTTGGGCCATTTGCCCAGCATATTCGCTCTACTTTATGGCAAGATCCATCTGACATCGACCATGACATTGCTTACTCCACTTCCTTTTCTGAATCTGGCTTGAATTTCTGACAGTTCTCTGCCAATGTACTGCTGCATCAACTTTTAAGTATCTTCAGGAAATTTTACTTGCAAAATCTTACTTCCTGTGTTAGACTGGGTTGCCTAGAGAAACAAATCCAGTGACATAAATGTATAAGAAAGGGCTTTATATCAAAGAATTGTATATTAAGAAATCATCCCAGTTCAGTCCAGATCAAGTCCACAAATCTGATATTAGTCCATAAGTCCCATACTGGTCCATAAATCCCTCTTCAGACTCACACAGCACATGCAATGGTGCAATTTAATTTTTTTTGCCCAGATTCCTTCAGTACTGCATCTCAAGTCCTGAAGTTTTCCCTCAGTTCTTTCAGTAGAAGTGCTGGTTGTGTTCTCCGCTTTGGTTTTCTATTTCCAAATCTTTGCACATTTCATCATAATATTTTACTTTCTCTTCTCAAAGCAACCTTTGAACTCTTTTGCTCGACTCTTTTACTTCATCAGTTCTTCCTTTGGTTTTAGCTACTTTATGTTCAACAACAAGTTTCAGAGTCTCTTCTGACACCTCTTTCTCCCTTTTTGTCTTTTTAATGCCTGTTTGGTTTCTTCATGTATGATGTCCTTGATATCATATATGATTTGCCTGGTGTTCCATTATTAGTGTGTCAAATTAGTGTGTCCAATCTGTTTTTGAGATAGTTTCTAAAGTCAATGGGATATATTTAATATAGCATTTTGGATCTCATGGACTTGTTTTAATTTTTTTCATCATTAACTTGAACTTGCATATGAGCTGTGGTGGGTCTGCTCTGCAGTCAGCCCCAGACCTGCCTTGTTCTGACACCTGATATTAGCTGCTCTATCATCTCTATCCACAGATGTACTTGATCTGATTCTAATGTATAACAGCTGGTAAGAGTCATATGTATAGCTTCTATTTATGTTGTTGAAAACAAGTATTTGCAATGAACATGCCACTGGTCTTGCAAATTTGGATCAGGGCATCTCTTTTCCATCTACTGATCTTTCTCCTTTGTTTCCAACTTTCATATTCCTATCAATATGTCTTGATCACATATTTGATCAATTTCAGATTGCAGACGTTAATATAAATCTTCAAATCATCCTTGGTGTGAGTGGTTGGTATATAAATTTGATTAATGATCAGATTAACTGGCTATTATTCTGTTGTTGCTCTTGGTCGGTGCCATTGAGTCAGTTCCAACTTATAGTATTCTCCTGTTTGAGCCCATTATTGCAGACACTATGTCAACCCAGCTTATAAAAAGAGGGTCTTCCTCTTTTTCACTGCTCCGCTTTACTAAACATGCTGTCTTTCCTCGGGGACTGGTGTCTGCTGACAACATGTCCAAAGTAAAAGAGATGAAGTCTCACCATCCTTGCCTCTAAGGAGCCCTCTGAGCATATTTCTTCCAAGAGAGATTTGTTTCTTCTTTTAGCCGTACTTCCAATGGTACTTCCAATTTCTTCACCAACACCGTAGTTCAAATGCATCCATCTTTCTTCAGTCCTCCTTATTCAATGTCCAACTTTCACATGCATATGAGGCAGTTGAATATATCATGGCTTAGGTCAGGCATACCTTAGTCCTCAAAGTAACAGGTTCACCTTAGTTTTCAAAGGTTATCCTTCTAGGCATATGAATATTATCCTCTAGTTGTATTTCAGGATAGATCATGAAATTTTCCTTCTGATGACCCATAAACTTCCATCTGTCATTCCCAACTAATACATCATCTGATTGTTTGATTCGAAATGGTCAATACCAGTCTATTTCAGTTCAATAATGCCTACGATATGGATCTTCAAGCATTACATTTTGTTTTTCTAGTTCATACTCCCTAAGTCCTTGTTCTGATTGTTAATATTTGCAACTGAGTCATCTCACTTTGGGTCATACTCTATCTGCAAATGAAAGTCCCATAAACTTTATTCCATCATCGACCATAAGGGTCATTAAGGTCCACTCTGCAGTCTTCCAGTCTGCTGGCTCAGACTCTCCATAATGCACGCATTGGCCAGTTTCTTCAGAAGCAGATCATCAAGTCCTTCTTCCCAGGCCCTTAGTCTGGAAGCTCCTATGACACCTGCCCACTATGGGCCTGCTGGGATTTGGAATGCTGGTGGTGTAGTTCCCAGCATCACAGCAATGTACAAGCCACCACAGTAGGTGGCTTAATATTACTAATAGGATTAATATTAATAATTTCACTGGTGCTGAGGGGTGTTTTAGGACACAACAGATACCCCAAGTGTCAAACATAATTTAAGGAGCACATTTATTAAACCCTAAACAGATCATCCAGATGATGAAGACCATTTGCAAGAGGTCATAATGTTGTCCACAGGCTTGCAGAGAATAGATGGTTTAAACAGAACACGGCTTAAACAAGACTGTCACGGAAGCATGACTGGCAGCAGATCAATACATCACAGTTGCAAGTGAGACTACAGCAATGGGCCTGGGACCATGATTGGGCATATATTGTGATAGACTTACAAGATTAGTCCAGGGCCCTCCAACCAATGCAGGCGTGGACTATGCGACCACTACCCCAGTGGCCAGCAAGGACTCCCCCAGGCAAGCCCTTAAGGCAAGCCTCCCTCCCGGACTGGTTAGAGGAGTGTTGGTAATCCTGGTAATCCGCTTTCTGACGCACTCCAAGACTGTTCACAACCTTGGTCAAAGGTCAGAAGGAAGTCAATGGAGGTTTATTCCATTCTGCGTGAGGACTCGGCAAATGTATTTTTAGGCTTTCAAAGTTATTCGTAGTCTTCTGTAAACCTGTGCTCAGAATTTAAGCTCCAACACGGGGAAAATGACTAGGGGGGGGGGGGTCAGCTAGCAGCAGGGAGGCTGGTGTAAGGCATGGCAAGGCACAATAACCCCACCGCCTCCATTTGCCCCCAGCCCGCTGCCCGCTCCGCAGTACCCAGCAGGCCGGGGTCATGGACAGTCTTGGTCAGCCACGGACAGTGTGGAGTGCAGTAACTGAAGGAGAGCTGAAAACTGGGGCGAGTAGACAAAGTTGGGAACCAGTGCCAAGTGACCCATAAAGAGCCACAGCTCCGAAGGTCCGCAGCGGTCACCACCCATCACCCCTCCGCCCCGAGTTTCGCGCCAGCTTCCTGCTTTGAGGCCATGCGCCAGGCCCCGCCCCTTTAGCGCTCCAGGCCTCTGATTGGGTGGCCTTCGCTGGGGCGTGACCGGCGAAAGTTGGACTTCGGTGGCGTGGGCGGAGCTCGGGCTGGTGGTGCTGGCCAGCGCTCAGTGCCGGCGCTGCGTGCCGGCGGAGGGTCCTCGGGCGGAGGAGGTAAGGGCCTGGCAGACCCGGCTGGGGCGCGAGGAGCCGGTAGGTCCCCTGCTCAGAGTTCCCGAGTCCCAGGTCGCCCCGTCGTGGGGGCTCCCGGGCTTGGGCGAGGCGCAGCCCGGAGCCGAGGCGAGGACTCGGGGCGCGATGGGGCTGCGGAGGCTCCAGTGGGGCTCGGTGCCGAAGCGGGGTCGCCGAAGTGCGCTCGGCGCCGAGGGAGCGTCGGGCTCCCGTGGGCTGAGGGCTCCGCGCGCCCGCTGCCGGGGATGGGGGGTCGGGGTGGTCGGGGCCTCTGACTGCGGTCGGGACCTCGGTGCTCCGTCCCAGTCTGCGAGGTCTGGGGCCAGGACCGCTGCCCGACGCGCGGGGAGCCAGGGGGAGTGGGCTGCGCTTTGTGGGTGGCCCCGCCCTCTTTGGTGTCTCTTGTTTGGCCACCACTTGACCCCGGAACATTGAGTTACAGGCCCTTAGGGGGAAGGGTCAAGGCCAGCCTTCATCTCCCACTTCCCTGAAGCGGACCCAGCCCTCCAGGCTGCGGTAGGGACCACCTGGAATTCCCTGCCGTTTGGCGCCAAACTGAGGAGAGGGAGAGGTGTGCTTAGTCCCTTTGCAGGTAGGGAAACGGAGATTCTGCACAGCCCCACCTCCGACTAAACTCGCTGCCTGTTGCGTCGATGCTGCGCGTTTCTGAGACTGTAACTCTTTTAAGGCAATGAAAAGCCCTGTCTTTCTCTAGCAAAGCATCATGTGAGTTCGAACTGCTGGCCTTTAGCTTAGCAGCTCTGCAAACGGGAACCACTGTGCCACCAGAACCAGAGAAATACTTGTTTGGACTTTGAACAGGGCGATTATCTCACCACCAGAGGCCAAAGATCCCGGGATCGAGAGCCCGGAATGCCTCATTTCCTTAGCCCTGTGACCAGAACATACTGATTTGACCTCTCAGTCTTGGCCTCCTGGAGAGGCGGACAGACCCTGGCAGCTCCCTCCTGGGAACCTAAGCTGGCTAGAGAGGCTTAGGGCGCGCTTGAATTGTCCTGGTGGCCTTCCTCCGAGGTTGGCCCCACCCGCTGTCCATGCACAAGCCATTCTTCAGTGCTGGCCAGTCTGGCGGATGGAGCTGCCCAGCTGCACACCCCAGCCCACCTCAAGGAAGGAAGAGGGACTTGGCCCAGGTGGCCTGGGGGTGGCCCAGCCCAGCTGAGCTACTGGCCTGCCAAGGCCCCACCTCCAGGACTTGAGCGTTTCTGATTGTGTTTTTAGTTAGGAGCAGCCTTCGTGACTCATGTTCGCTCTGAGGCACTGCTTCTGGGTCACTGTGGCCAGGAACTCGGGCAGTGACCTCATAAAGCAGGGAGGTACCTTCCTCAAGGGGCTGTTCTGAGATTAAATGAGATAACTGCTGAACTGTTGCACCTGGAGGGCCAGAAACTCTCAGGAAGGGGCACTTCGTGGGTTAGTTTTCTTTTTACTGGTAGATTTCGG